TAGTTAACTGTCATTTTAGTTGTTGAAAGAGGAGTTCAACATATAGTCATTCACCCACACAAATATGTATACTGTATTCGACGTAATAAGCGCCCCCAATATTTGCTAATATATTGGCGAGTGAACAATCCCAATTAGCACCCCTTCCATTTGTACTCAAGACTTATTTATTCGCTTATGATATGCACTTGTCTGTTATATGCACCCTTAATTATGGGCAATTAAATTGTGGAAAAATATATTTGTCATACATGAACGTTTCAGGCTGACAGCATAAACCGCGAAATTTATCTTTCAACTCTGTCTTTTTTTCACCAAAATGATATTCTTATAAGAGCCCCCTATTTCTAATTTTGAGAGCGCCCTGGGCACTTATTACGTCAAATACGGTATCTATATCTGTATTAATCAATACTGGTTTTAACACATAATCTATCATCAGCCTGTTATACATGTTACAGAGCTCCAGATAACTTTGAGAGCAAATGCGTTTTTACTCCAGGGTTTCTATTTTAATTGGGTTATTACATTTTTCATTGGGTAACCAGTATTTTTTCACTCATCCATTCATCACTCTATTGGGTTTTTCCCCGAATTAGTGAACATTTTAAGATTTTAAAAAAGTGAAATAATGTTTTAGATGTATATAACTGTACTAAATATAAAGGCTTGACTCTGAAAGTAAATTAGCTCGTAATTGTGTTTCAGAAATTAGCTCCTTTGTATGCATGCTGAAAGAGCTTCATTGGGTATTTACGCAGGCTTTTTTTTATACATTTGAGTTTTTCATTTAATGCATCTGTATGCAAGTTAATTGAAAGTAATTGGGTTTTGAATATTTTGGGAGGTATTTTATGCAAATATGCTGCTTATCTGTAGCTCTGATGTTACATGAAGCACCAATTGGTTTGTGACAATTGGACACATCTAACTGAACTGCGTTGTTTACATGTGACTAGCAATTGTGTCCGGGTGGTGTGAATAGCCTGCTCTGATGAGAAATCTTTATGACCAGTCATTTGGCAGGTGTGCTGCAGAATACAAACATGGTTTAACACAGTGTCACACCTGTTGGCATATCCATGGAACCAGTGTGTAAGTTGATCTGTGAGAAAAATCACAAGCTTTTCCATGTTTACGTTCGACAACAGTTATCATTAAGCTAGTGTGTCTAGTTCTGTTATTCAAGACTGAATTTTGGCTGGAACAAGTCTTTTTTGTTTAAGGTTTTGTTTGTTTGTTTGTTGTTTAACGCCGCACTCAGCAATATTCCAGCTATATGACGTCAGTCTGTAGATAATCAAGTCTGGACCAGACAATCCCATGATTGATATCATGTGCATCGATCCACACAGTTGGGATTTGATGACATTTATTAATCAAGTCAGCGGGCCTGGCCACCTGATCCCGTTTGTTACCTCATACGACAAGCATGGTCGCCTTTCACAGCATTTGTTTTACAAGTTAGCTTGCCATGCTAAATTATTTGATGTCCATGTTTTATTGACAACAACAATACCCTAAATTTTGTGTAAATAACAAAAATGTTAGAGAATATCATAATCAAAAAGGCTGCTTGGTATCACTTGGTATTGTGTGATTTTCGTTTACACAAACTATATATTTCACCTGAGCATTGCTCATTTTATCGTGTGTACGTGTTACAGTCAGTGTGTAAAATGACGAACATTTTCACTTTAGCAATTTATTAAACACCTAAATATTCTGTTACTTAACAAATTGACCGAAAAATCTGTCCATATATTTTATTATTGAAACACCACATACAATGTAACCTGCCTTGTCAAAGTTGACAAGGCAAGAGAAATATGAAAGACATATGTTGGGTTCAAGGTCATAGGTGTGGCAGGACTTGTGGGCTGCCCTGAGCTATATTATTATAATGAGATATTTAGCAACTTAGTTACCAGCAAGCAGTAGCAGCAGCAGCAAAGGGCAACTATGTTGCTAGCAGCAAAATACTAAGTTTCTGCTGAAAAGCAGACATGAATTAAGTTAAGCCAAAAAGTTCCCACCCGCTGAGAAGCAGAGGGACTGAACATATTCCCGCTGAAGAGGAGGTACCTGATAATTTTAATTCTTACTCTGTGATTAAGTAAGTATTTACATTTGTAGCCCACAAGAACCACGCCAACAGCACGCATATGCTAAGCCCACACCAAAGACCATGAACCATGAGCAGAGACCATATAATAGAGGGACGGCCCTCCCCAACAGTTTATCATAAACCATCAGCGCTACGGTCTGGCATGTAACTGATACACCCCGACACCCTGCTGTGTACCGCTGCAGATGCGCAATAGATGCGCAGGCATTCACGACTGACCATTCTGGTAACCACGTAAACAATATTACATAATATCCGGGGTAAGAGTTAATTCCCTTAGCCGAGATTTCTCCGACTACGACCAGCGACAATCCAATAAAAGGACGTCTCTTAGCGGATTACAAAGATTTTTTATGATATCTCTCATTAGAACATGTCAGTTGGCTGCAAATTATTTGCTGAAAATGTGTGTCTTCCGGGACATTTATTTCAATTTACATTCGCTACAGCCATGGACGACTTCATTCACTTGGACGATTTCGTTTTGGACCTAGATATGCCACTTGAAGAATTCCCTCTCTTCGACCAGGGGTTGGTTTCGGATGACTCTTGGTCTAAATAGAATGACAGTGATGTTACCGCTACCAAGCCGTTGGTAATACCTCCCAAAAAGTTTCACTCAAAGAAAAAGATAGGAAATGAAAATATGACGTCTGTCCACAAGCGTAAGTTTTCGAGGGCGTGTGAAGAAAAAGCTGTTCCGATATCAAAAGTATTTTATAACGTATTCTATTTGTTTTAAAAATCAGTTAACATATCTCATTTTATGCTGCAATTGTTAACTATTATAAATAAACAAATATACCAAATCTACTACGAACGCCACAGAAAACTACGATGCGGTAAATTGCACAGGAACTCAGGAAGTGTAAATAAAACTCATCCAGAAGCAGGGAAGACACTTGTAACATATCACCATATTCCTGATGTTCACAAAATATATCTCCAGATTATCTTCATATCTTATAATAAGTCCAGACTAGATTTACTTGCAAAAATGCATGATCACCGACTGGTGTAAATGCTTTACTATTAGCCAGAAAAAAAATGACGCCATATTAATGTTTTTATTTCATGTAAATTCGCTACTATTTTATAATGCTAATAGTTCCAATGAATTAGAAATACACATTAAACTACGAGCGTTGTTAAATGAATTTTCGATGTGTCCGACAATGGGCTTCGAAAGAATCAAATGTTATTGGTTAATGCCAGTTTGGGGCTAGCAGTGATAGTGGGGTTTGCCGGAGCGAGGTAAGTTTTTTTTTCAAAAAAAGGCTACTGTTAAATTCCAAAGCAAAGAGGACGATTATAATTTTACAATCGTTATTCGATATTACCCGATTAGATTGATATTTCAGCATACAAATAATTAGGTATTTCAGGTATAACAATATAGCTTCAACGAGCATGGTACCAGATATGTACTAGTATATCGTAAACTGTAGTAACGTTTGTTGTTTTCAAAATTCTTTCATCATAGTTTTCTATATCTGATCAATGAAAAACAAACTTTAAACTCTAACCAGGAACGAAGCATGCAACTATTACTATTAAAACAAAACAAACTCTGACATATGTAAATGTATTTTTCACAGAAAAGGACAATAGACCATTTATATATTTTACTGAATGACACCTTCGACCTTGTTGTCTGGAACTTCTCTCCCGACGACTGCCGATATAATCCTTCTTCTTTCTTGGCATTTACAAAGCAAATGATAATTTTATTATACAAATATTTCATGTAACGGATTTTTATTTTTGTATGATGTTTTCATTGTTGTGTAAATACACAAAGTAAGTAGTACCTTCATCATATTTATATTATCATGATTGGGTTTAGGCCAATATCATTTTGCTCATAATCAATATTTACACGGCATAAAATAAATAATTGATTAAATGTAGTCATGATTTATACAGACAAAATCTACAGAAGATAACAAATATGCAGTATTGTAGTATGTAGTATATGCGCGATATGTGATAGAAGCCTAACTGAAACAATGTTAAACTAACGAAGAAATGGCGAAAGCAATGGTAAAAAAAATACACGTTTTACAAAAACAATTCTAATATCATACAATATAAGTCAGTTTGTAGAATGTTTCAAAGGATATATGCGGATGATAATCACAGACAAAATGCATGTTATGTCGTCTGCTATATGGTAATTTAACTTAAAATATGTGACGTAAAATATGGCCTTGCGCCAAAAATCATACCAAAAAAACTACTGATCGTACCTAAATAACGTTGGTATCAAGCCAAAGGGGAAATCGTGATGAATGTAAAACTATTAAATTCAGGACCGATAATAGGAACACATTCGTCTGAAAGCATGCGAAAATTAAGAGTTGTGGTGTAATTATTTCGCGAAAATTCAGATTTAGTCCCATTTTCTGGAGTCAAAATCTGAAATTTCGCATCCGCCCTAAATTTGTTAATGGCACTAAGCCATGTTTTAACATATCTCCTTTTTATACACCTAGGTAACCAAGGACTTTCATTGCGAATTAGAGACCGTTATTGAAAATCAAAATCTGCACTTTTGCCGATTTTACATGCGCGCCATTTTGTTCTCTCGGACAAAGACAAAGCGTGATCACAGTCATCAAATACAGTGACAACGACATGCTTTAAGGCACCAACAAATCTCAGTTGTAATGTTAACAATGTTAAGAAATACATGAGTGTAATTATGTATTGTGAAATATATCTTTTGCATGGGAAAAAAAGGCAACAACGATGACTGCAGTGAACGCGTTTCTGCTCGCTTCCGAACAGGCTGCGCAGTACAAGCCGTAGCACTGATGGTTTCGCGCATAGGCTAGAGGGCCGTCCCTCTATTATATGGTCTCTGCCATGAGGGACCCCCTAACTAGCCACAGAAGAAAGAATTTAGTGTCACTTGCTTGTTTACCTGCTACCTACATTTGGCATCAGTTCTTCGCGGATTGAGCTTATCAAGATTTGCAGTCCTTTGACTGAGAGGTGCACCCTGTTCCAGACATACAGGGAACTGTCCCCAGCACAAACCTTGGGATGCTGAATGTGCACCCAACCAAGCTCCCTGACCCAGTTGTCCAACCGTCTGTTGACCTTCTCCCTGGCCATCTCCACAGCATCATAGCAATTGGCTCCATGCCAGTGCCTCCTTGGCAGCATCATGCATGTCGGACCAAAGGATGGTGGTCTGAGGCATTAACAGATGCAGCCTCAACATAGCAAGGTGAATGTCTAGGTACAGCTGGCTGGCCTTCCACTTGCAAATATCGTTTGAGCCCAGATGTATAAGTATGGCCCTGGGATGCTGGCCAGTCTTGCCACAACATCCCACTGCGAGCCATCCACAAGTAATTGGAAATCCAGCCAGACCGGCTCTCTGCCAGGAAGCACTGGGCCCCGGTAACTTGACCTGAAAGCAACAAGGCACAGTGGAATGGTCCCGATTAAACAATGCAGTCAAGTACACATTTTAGGTGTGCGGAAACATGTATATGATGTAAAGGAATCTGACCCCCATCTACCAAGCTGTTTGATTAAGTCTTGACTCATGCCATTGACTGCTGCTGAGGTTGCTGCACCTATTCTGAAAGAATGAGAAGAGGAATCATTTGTGTTGAAGCTGCTGTTCGCCAAAGCCTTCTTTAGAATTGCCTGAAACTGATATCTTGATAGAGCTGTGTTGTCAAAGTGAACAAACACTGAGTCAGCGCCAGTTGGGCGGTCATGGAAATAACCCTTGACTAGTGCGACTGGGCACAGAGGATGATGTGGAATAGCTGTAAGGGTGATGGAAACCCTGTTTTGAGCCCTGTCACCTTTGGAGTGCCTAAGGATCAATGTTACCTGTCCCCGATCTGCTTGTAATATCATGTCCTTCATGGCAATCCCTAATTGGCCTGGTTTACTTTGTACCAGCTCACCTGCTCTGAAAAATCCAAAGAAAGCAGTGGAAAACACAGCTGTGTAGAGTTTAGTTTCAAAAGTTGACATGCAAATAAATGGTAAACTTGAAATAATGGCTTGGAGCAAATTGACTGTGTTACGAGTGGAAGTGGAACGAAGGGATACACTCCAAATCCATTCGCACAATGAAAGGATCGCACAACAATTAAGACAGATATTTATTAACAATGCATGATAGATTACCAATACAGCTGAGTTTAGTATGGGAGAATTAGGCTTGGGCTACCATGTACAAATAATATCACCATCAAAGGGCTACAGCAAATTGTATACTTATATAGTCACCCTGATTTCCATGTTTGATTGTTCACTCCACTCCTTGGTCCACGAAAACACATATATCCATAGTTGCACATAAGCTCACACTGCAAGTTTTCCAAGGCACACGTTTGCAAATATCAGCATGATTTCTAGTTCAGTTTCACAAGCCCCGACATGGGATACAATCTCTCACACAGTGTTCTGAACTTTAACATTAAAAATGAGGAGGTTAAAATACAGGTCTGGCCAACACCCAAGAAGCAGAAAAACCTAACTATTTTTGAATCCCCCCAACCTTATACTATAATGCTGATTAGCTACAAGCTTCACTTGTTACATAATTACTTAACCCGCTCAGGCAGCCAGCTCCCCAGGTGTAGTATTCAAGCAAAGTTACGCAACCCAAGCCTTCTTGTTTCAATTCAAGTCTAAATGCATCTGATATACTAACAAACATATAAAAGCATACACCCATACACATAACAGACTGTAATAGGTTTGCGAGTGTCAGAGTTGCGCTTGCCCTTACTCATACCAGATATGAGCTTCCGCATCAAGAAATGATCGGTGCAGTCCAACATGTCCCTTAGCTTATGGTAGGTAGATATAGCCAGAGACCGTATATCGGTATATGTGTAGGAGAAACCATGTCTCCGAGGAGACCTGGTTTGTCCAACTTATAAACCGAAGAGACATGGTTTGTCCAACTTATAAACTGACTCATCTCAAAGACAACGTTTTTAATTAAATAACTGTAATATCAGGGGTTTACGATGATTGTAAGCCCTCCTGCGAGGTGTTACAATCGTTGGCCATACCTGGGACAGCCCATGTATTGTTCTGGAACCCTGCAGCACCTCGACCGCCGTCTCGTATGTTGACCATGTGTTACTGGCCAATGACTGTTTGAGTAGTCTTCGTGCTTCTTCATTTAGAACGTCCACATGTTGTGTGGCAGCGCGTGGAGCCAGGTCTGCTGTTGGTGCTGCTTCCCGAAAAAGTGCCCACTGGAATCTCGAGAGAGCATCAGCAATGACATTTGCATTTGTGTTGATATACTTAGTTTTTAAAAGAATGTTGTGCCTGAGGCATAGCAAAACCAGTTGTCTGACCAGAGCCATAGTTCTTGGAACCTTACAGGACTGCTTGTTGATGATGTTAACTACTGTCTGGTTATCACAATAGAAAAGTACCCTCTTGTTGGAGAGAGTCTGACAGACAGTACAATTGGAAATAACTCTAGGTTACACACAACCAAATGTTTTCTCATAGACTTCTATAGTAACGTTATAATTTTTTTTTTAAATAACTAAGCATTCAACAGCTATTACCTGTATGTGTGTGCACAGTTTGGCCTTAGAGCAGCAATAAAAAAATAAAAAATGACTAGCTTAGCCAGCTCCTTTTCCGAGTACAGTAAGCTAAACACACCACCCCCAGTTTCGCACCAAATGTCACCTACTTGAAAATAGTTGTGGTCACATTCAGCATAAGTCATCATGTTGAAAAAGACAGTACTAAATATAGAAAAACATGGTCAGTTTTAATAACTGGATGGATGTTCATTTGAAAGACATAAAAATCTTACAGAATATCCTCCAATCACAGCCTGCAGATATCTTTCGATCTGCACTGAAGGCTCCCTACGAAAACCGCACTGTCCAAACTGGTTCTGATTTGTTGTAGTAGAACCTCTAACAAAGTCAAGTCCTTGGTCATGAGCATGTTAGTCCATTGTCGTGGCCAATGATCACTCGTCCAGTGACCCGGGAAATAGGCTCCAAAACCTCATTGAAAAGCTGCAATGTACTATTGCCATCCCACTGAGCTTGCTGAAAGATTGAGATGCCATTATAATGGATGAAAAACTCTAGCCAGATAGACAGGTCTTCTTTCAACCCCTTTGTAAGACATATGCGATGGAATGCAGATTGGACTCTGCACATTTGATCTATCAACCTGCCAGAAAGCCTGACCCATGGAGATTGCCCTGCAAATAAAGTTAAGAATAAGCCCAAAAATTGAGAATTGCTGTACAAAAACTGGGTGCAGAAAATTTTGTCAGAATTAATTTTGATTGATGAAGAGATTTTGATGACGTCATAGGAAGTAGAATTATGACCTAAGTGGCAGGAGATTGGAAGAGGAAATGATGTGACAGAGGTAAACAAAGAGGTGCATTATGGTTTCAATAAACCAATTAAGTGAGAAGCACTAAATGAAATTATGATAACAAATTTCAAATATTTTGATGTTTCATCACCCAGGGGCTGAAAATGATAGGATTAAAAGAAAACTATATTCGAAGTACAATTCTATTTTTTTTTAGCTTCTTATCTGATCATGATAGTCTATTGTGATTTAAGTCCTTTGAACTTCTTTATAAATTTTGGTCAGTCTGTTAAATAATCAGATAGAGTTTTCAGTCATTTTGTTTTACACATTTTATCCATTGTCTATGTGAATAATAATTTACACATTGATTGTATCATATACATGCCTACAAACAAAAGGGATTGTGAAAACAATGACTTAGTGGTGTTGTCTGTCTTGCATTGAAGAACTTCTTAGCAATAATGTAGAGGAAATAGAATCTTTCTGCTAAATTCTACAGAAAATGAATAAAAACAAAATGCAAATATCGTAATTACAATTAACCAATGTTTTATGTATAATATTAGGCAGTTACCTTGTTCAAGGCATGTATCTGTAAATATCCACGTAAAGGAAAAATACCCTATACATCTGCAGCTGTACAAAGAAACATGTTAGATGTCACACATTTTATAAAATATATATAGCGTTTTGGAATAGCATGACCCATGTTCGTTTCTCAACTGATCACATTAGTTTGTTTTAGGTATTTCACACAGGTGTCAAGTCTCATAGGAGATCAGCTGATATAGCACACATGACAACTACTTTCATGATGTCCACAGTTCTTTAAAAAAAAAGTCCATTGTGTAAGATAACAATGAGCAATTAATCCATGTATGATCATCTAATTCTTAACACAAAGCATGTTGTTTTTACATTGGCACTTCACGCCCAGATATGGGTGTAATCTGCATGCTTCAGTCAACCTGGACATATAAACACTTACTTTGGCAAATCCACTGTGAACAATCAATCAACATAATCCTTTGATGGATGTTTTTTTTTGTAACTTTACTGATCATTCCTCTCTTGCTGCATTGTCAGGAGGTGGTCGGGTAGCCTAGTGGTTAAATTGTTTGTTTGTCATGCCAAAGACCTGGGATCAATTACATAACATACATTTCACTCCTCTACAGACCTGGATTTATAAGCCAAACTTAGATTAAACGATATCCTAGACACAAGAAATGCCAATTGGGAACCTTTGTCAGGTAATCTGAGTGTTGCTTCTACAAATTATACCTGACTCGTGAAGATCTGGGGTAGAATTGGTCTTCGGCAACCGATACTTGCCATAAATGCTGACTATGCTTGTCATAAGAGGCAACTAACGGGATAGGGTGGTCAGACTTGATGACTTGGTTGATGCATGTCATCACATCCCAATAACGTTGATCAATGCTCATGATATCAATCACTGGATTGTCTGGTCCAGACTCGATTATTTTTCAGACTGCCGTCATATAGCTGGGATATTTCTGAGTGCGGCGTGAAACAACAAACAAACAAACAAAACTAATTATACCTGTTATAAATTCATTAACTGAGCATCAAGTGAATGACGACAAATACACAAGTGAAGGGTTATACCATGAAAGATGGATGACAACAAGGGAGTAGTAATTGTTGTATTATATGCAATTTAGTTGTGGGATGATACACCGATGTATCAGTGGATCCTGATATTTCACTTATTGATACATGCATCCATCACAGTTGCACACACTAAGTAAAAAGTATCAATTCTTACCTTAAATGTATTCTTTAATAAATGTCACATTAAACACTAAATAGTCGTGAAAATTAGAAGTGAAAAAATTAATATTTTAATCCATTGCACCATACTTGCCACTGCCAACTGTAAATCATCAGTGTGCCAGGTATTTGAATATCCTGTCTATGAAAAATATGGGTTATTCACCACAAATACGAGCACATACAAGTATCGCGATATGTATCGGATTGTGAGCAAGGTATCGTGATAAGTATCGGATTGCACAGTTGGTGTATCATTCCAGCCCTACTAAATCATTGTTGCAAAAATAATGTGTACACATATTTGCTGTATACACAATTGTACATTGACTTTAATGGTTTGTTTTATTATGCCCCACCATAATGATGTATTTTAGGGGATGTAGAAACATGGTCCGTCCGTCACATTTCGTTTCTGGTGCATAACTCATACACCTCCAGGTCCACCCCTCTTCAAGACAATACCCATCCATTGGACATGTCCGACTTAGGAAAAGTGAGACGAAAATCTTACAAGCCATGTTCTGTGTTTTGTTTTTGCCACTCAAAACAGGACATTTTACATAATTAACATGATTCATAAAAGATGAAGGATAGTGGAATAGAAGGGCAAAATAGTTTCAGCAATACGTTCATCTTTGCCATCATATCATGGTTTTCAACTGCTCTAATTAAGCATGTTAAGCTGAAGCACTGTGAACATGTAATTCTCATTGTAGCCTCCAACCTAGTCCTGCACCATGACCGTGGAATATATTTATTTTATGAAAAAAAAATAATCTAGAAATGCATACAAAAGCAAGTCAAGCCAGCTCAAGCTAGCTCTATTCCACATGCTGAAATCAGCATAGGGAATTTGTTTTATATTTTTAGAGTCAAGAAGGATATTGTGTAATGTAAGATTTCAGAGACTAAATGTTAGTCTACCTCCAACCCCATAGAGCTGCGTAACAGCTAGGCCTCAGTGGAGAGGCTTGTATTATTTCAGTTATGAAAGGGTACTGCATCACGTTCAATGATACATTCAACATGAACACATTGGTTGCAAAGCAATGGATGGATTCAATTAAAATATTTGATTAGATTTCCACAGTATATGACATGTAATAATGTGTACACAGTTAAAAATGTTTGTAACCTGACCAGTGATATTAATGACAGTGTCATTTATTGGCAGTCTCAGTGCGTGTGTGGGGTAAATGTAGAATTTCAATTCAGTTATTGATTCAGAATATTGTTTCGACCTTTGCTTTGCCTCTAGAGGTTTGAGTCAGTGGTCAATTATGCTGTGACTGTCGCCATATGTTTGGAAACCAGATACTGACCCCCTTCAACAGCGGTAGCCTGACCACTTTCCTTGCTGTAAGATAACAGTATGCAGTTATATCACCGTGGCCTACATAGACAGTTTACTGCATGTGTGGGATGATATACACCGGCTATCTATGGTATACAATATTAGATGCTGTGCTACTATCAGGATAATGTCTGATAATACTTTCAAAGGATATGATAAATCTTTGTATTGTCTAATGGAGGGGATAGCTTTCAAGTCACAATCTTTCCTGTTGGTTTGTTCCGACAGTGACCCATTGTGAGCCTCATTAGTGAAACAGGTAAGTCTTAGTGATCTGCGACAAGTTCCTATCAAGCAGACCCGTGATGATCCGGGGTAGAATAGGTCTTCAGCAATCCATGCTTGCTGTAAAAGGTGACTATGCTTGTTGTAAAAGAAGACTAAGTGAGTGAGCTGAGTGCGGCATTAAACAACAAACAAACAAATCCTATCAAGCAAGATAACTTGAACTTTTGACCTTACCATGAAAATTTCATGTCTTCCAGACAGTAGGACATTTTTATACTGTAAAGTGGCTTCAAAGTAGAGGTTTAACTTGCAGAATGCATGTTTAATTGGTTATAATGTTGTCCAGGAGAATTGTTACTGTCAGGGATATATTTTTTAGCCATAAGTATTTACTCACATGTTTTTATTCACTTTGGGTATCAATAGTTCTTGGGTCCAGTCTAATGGGTATTTTTAAACCAATGAATGAACCTTTTTTAAACATGATCCTTCTTACAATGCTATTTCAGGCAACTTTGAATCTGTATCTGTCCATGTAGAGCCAAACTGTGTCACATATTGCATAAGTTCAAGAGCCCAGATGTATAAGTATGGCCCTGGGATGCTGGCCAGTCCTGGGCCCCATTCCTCAAAGTGATCTTAGTGCTACGATGATTGTAAACCTATGTTAAAGTATGGGACTTACGATCATCTTAGTGCTAAGATCGCTTTGTGGAACGGGGCCCTGGCTAGCTGTCGCTCTATACATGTCTTGCCCTATACATGGTGCAAGATACATGTCTTGCTTATTGAACTTACAAAAGACATGAAGTAGCACTGAATTTGTATCATTCACTGATGTAGAGTTCCTGTAGGGCTCCATTCCAACAAAGATCTGTAAGAGAGACAGGTACACAATCTGAAAAGGCAACGTTACATAATTACGTGCAGTGTCATTATGTTTTGGGTTTTTTAGTTCTTTTCATGTACATTTGTGCAATATACTCAAAATTAACTGGGCTATGGTGCTTTAGGTTGTGGAATGATGCAATAGATCTCTCCATGACATCAGACTGTCAGACAGGGCTTCCATTTGCATCCGTTCCATGGTTGTTGGTTATTTAAAGGTTTCTTAAAGTTATCTTACTATACAGAACAAAATAAGTAAGTGGTCATGAATATTTTGGGGGATATTCTTTTATAGTGAAGAGCACAGATTTCATAACAATATCACCAAAAACATACATGACCCCTAACTTGTTTTGTTAGTCATTTTGGTATATTAGCAATAGGGTTTCATATGTGCAATACTGAAAGAACATCCTTGTCCTTGCAGGTGCATCTGTATCATCAACAGCGTAGTTCCAGTGTGTGATATTTCAGCTGACATTCATCAACCATCTTCAACCGATTCATAAGTCATGGAAAAGGACATAGAAGTGAATGAAAGGACACCAATCCTGGGTGACTCAGTCGTCTGCAATGTTGCCGATTTGGACAAGAAGGGCACTTATCGGGACGAAAACAGCAATGACAAAGTAGACTTTTCATTTAAAAAATTGGATGGTAACAGGAAATGGACGTTTGTGACATTAGCTTTTGTTAACTTCTGTGCCTGCACATGTTTCTCACTGTTGGCGCCATTCTTCCCCAGCGAGGTGAGTGCTGATTCCTTACAAGAGACACATCATTTTGAATCTTTCTCAAGATAAATGAGTGATATTCAGGAAGTATCCAATCGCAATAGTTAAAAATAGATTGGTATGCTATTGCAGTACTTGTACCTCTCATACAGTGTAGATTTACATACAAACATTTTTGATATTATGACAAAGATTAACACATCATTTCCTAGTTACTGCAGATTGTCTAGAAATGTGTAAGGAAAGTGCTTCTGATATAAAAAAAATATATTCTGAATAGATACCCACGTGTCTCTTCAAGCAAGGTGAATTTTGAATCAAACTGATACAAAATTATATGATAAACAGTGTTTTTTAAATTTTATTACATATGCCGAAACAATTAATAGGAAAGTGTGACATTGGCATTGGTGTTGATGTTTAATTAACATGGCTATATTGCTATATTACTGTGGACAATTGCGATGTATTGGTAGTTTGGTGAGTCATTACAACCCATGTGTTGATGATCACTTTACAACCCATGTGTTGATGATCACATCACTGCTCACCATGTTGGTTTTTTACATGGTTTTTACAGATATCGGTAATAACTATTTGGATATTGATGAGATTATTACATAATTTTCCGATACCATATGCCCTGTAATCTCATAAATAAGTACCCAGAGTGCTTAGATACACAAGAAGTTAAATTCACATGTTTGTTCCCATCAATGATGACGCCTGAATTTGACCATGCCCCTAATTTCTCTCAAAATGCATTTCCTCTTACTGTAAATATCACGTCCAAAGCTTTATGAAATTTGGTAAATGTTCAGAATGGGGCCTAACACATATGTACTGTTTTTCATGATGTTGTATATTTTGACCTTTATTTGACCTTTGCACTTTGAACCTTGTTCTTAAAATTTTTTAAAATGCATTGCCTTTCATTGCAAACATCGCCTCAGTAAAGCTGAAACATCACCATGACACTTGTATTTGTTCAAGAGGTTCAAATCCAATTTTCAACTTTATTGAAAAAAAATATTTTGTCATTACAAAAAAAATGAAATATGTCGCAATATTGAGAACTGTATTGCGATATATATATTGGAATACATGTTGGGGCCCAAAACGACTTTGTTAGACATATTTGTACTGTTCAAATCGTGAAATTAAAACTAAAACACATGACTGATGGCATGGTTTAATCCTTAAGTTATAACTCAAAATTAACTCAAACCCAAAATTGATGCCTGTTCACTTCTTTGATATAGAATGTTAATGTAACAGCATGAAGCATGTGCTGTTTAGTAGGGAATCCATTTCATCCAAATGCCTCAATATAGTAACTGTTTAGTTTATGTAATTATGTATTAATTCTTCTGTGACTGTATCAGAAAATATAGATTCACAAGGGTTGTATTGCTGACGGCCGTATTGCAATATACAGATGTTATATTGCTCACTCCTAATCATGTGTATGGCATTAGAAAACATATTCTGCAAAGGAAGCAGAGTGAGTGAGTGAGTGAGTATGGTTTTATGCCGCTTTTAGCAATATTCCAGCAATATCATGGGCTTCACGAATTGTACCCATGTCGGGAATCGAACCCGTGTCTTTGGCATGAGGTCAGGCCCGCTGACTTGGTTGATGCATGTCATCATATCCCATCTGTGTGGTTCAATGCTCATGATGTCAGTCACTGGATTGTCTGGTCAAGACTCGATTATTTACAGATCATCGTCATATAGCTGGAATATTGCTGAGTGCAGTGTTAAAAAACAAACAATCAATCAGTAATATTTACCTGCCTGTTCACATGAAAGGAACCTTGCGTTTAGATCCGTCGTTATGACAACGCTTGATATCTGTTTGTGTGAGGCTGAAGTCGTTACATAATTAACTTGTAAACAGTTGAGAGTAGCGATGGTTGTAGTGCTAAAATAACTTATTGATTGAGACCGAGATACTTTGTACATCCCAGTGTACATGCAAATCCAATCTCATCATGTAAAATGACAGTTAGCACAAGGGAGTTGGCATAGGTTGTCTGGGGAATCACCCTGTGCATATTGCTTGTTTTTGTTTATGATTAATTATACCAATAGTTGCTAATTTTTAGAAATGAACCAACTTGAGTGTTTTCTTATCATCAGGCAACAAAAAATTAGGATTGAATGTGAAAATGATAAAATTATCTAGAAAATATCGAACTGCATCCTGCTCAACATGAATGGCCGTTTCTGGTAGTTGTGTGCTGAGACATTTGCCTGATACTTTCTGAACTCCATTGCTTTCTTATTGAGGTAATTAAACTATTGAAAGTTTTTATATTTTGCAAGCTGAGCATTTATGCGTACGACACGTCACTTATATGATATGCAAAGCCTATTTCGTTAAACAGTTACTGCAAGTTTCATTTGGGGTGTCCTTCGACTATGCGCCTGTCGAATAGGTTCGACAGTAGCATTAAGAGCATTAAGAGATTACTAAGAAGGACTGGTTGGTCAAGCTGTGAATTGGTTACATTGTGTCATCATGCCCCAAGAGCATTGGACATTGCCCATCATAACAACCCCTTGTTTTGATCGGTATAGTGTCAGATGTTTACAGGCCTTGGACTATTGCAGGACTATTGCTGACTGCTGCAATAAAGAACAACCATCCCTGACTGTAACTGAGAATCACCCATTCACAGTCCTGGTTTGTGGGTGTTTTGATGTTTTACGCCGCACTCAGCAATATTGCAGCTAAATGATGGCGGTCTGTAAATAATCAAGTCTGGACCAGACAATCCAGTGATTGATATCATGAGCAGCGATCCATGCAATTGGGATCGATGGCATGCATCAACCAAGTCAGTGAGCCTGACCACCTGATCCCGTTAGTTGCCTCTTACGGCAAGCATAGTCACCTTTTACGGCAAGCATGGATTGCTGAAGACCTATTCTACCTCGGATCTTCATTGGTCAACATAGTTCTTGATGACACTGCTATTGTATTGCCTTAAAAACTTGTTAAGACTTGAGAAAAGAAAGGAAAGACTGAGAAACCTCCCTTTGTGTCAAAAAGTGACAGCGCACACTTGAGGATGGATGTGTGATTCAAAGTTATTAAGTTAAAACAATCTCATTAAAATCAGATCTTAGTTCTCGCTACCGCTAAGCAAAGATCTGAGGATATCCCATTACGGGTCACGTCAGACCGACCTTGCACGAACTTTGACCGACCAATGAAATGACCAATCAGAAGGCAGCCTTCTCGTTCTTTACGGCACTAATTTCAAATTGGCAACTACGCTTCGAAACATCTTTTGACAAATTCTCGATTACAAATTTGAAACCTGAACAAAAAAACATTCTGGAATGGCTGATAGATGGTCTAGAGTGTAAGGATTCAGTCGTTAAACCCGTAACTATCGTTCGGAATACCCCATGTTAAAGTTTTCAAGATTGCATGATTAGAAATCTCAATCCGATTGTCACTTTCATAATCTGGTAAGCGACGCACTGATTGGTCGGATGAAAGGTCGTTCTGACATGACCCCAAATGGGATGTCTTCAGATCTTTGTATAGCGGTAGCAAGAACTAAGGTCTGATTTTAATGAGATTAGTTGAAAAAGGAGTGTTTATTGTTTTTTTACTTTTTCACACACAAAAAAACAACTAGCTAACTTAAAAAATTACAAATAAATTTGCTAGTTCAAAACATTACATTATTTTATTTTTACTCAAGTTTGTTGCAATGATAGAAGTGGTGTAGTTTTTCTTCAATTTACATATGCTGATATAGTTTAAAATTTTCCAAGGCAATCCTTTTTATTTCATTGGTTTACAGATCAGTCAACCGCCAAAAAGGGGAAAGCGAAATCTAAACAGAACTATTTTTTCATTCCACCACAACTTCCACCACAAAAAATGTACAAAGAATATATGAAAATGCAAGACAGACAAGATTGTCTCAATGAACACTGCACACATTTCTACATATGCAGATATGGGGAGTAAAATATAAATCGGAAATCTCTTTTCTGCTATTTTTTTCACACCAATCTGCTAGAATTTCTGAAGTCAACTAAGACATACAAAAAAATCAGTCCTCCTAGCTAATCAGGATTGAGTATTCGCAGTAGTTCTCCCGCCTCTCTGACGCTGTATGTGATGTTTGCCATGTTTTTTTCTTGCAGGCCCAGGCCAAGGGGGCATCTCAAACAGTTGTTGGACTCATTTTCGGCTGCTTTGAATTTGTCATATTTGTATCATCACCAATATTTGGGACATTTGTAAGTGTTGCATTGCTCCGGTATCTTCATGATCATATATTCATTACAGCTAGTGTTTGGTTCTAAAATGCACATAACGGATATTTGGATTTTATTTAGAATGCAGGGTGATCTCAAATAAACTATAAGTGTTTAAAACTGTACAACATTCATGTAATAATATTTGTACTATTTTTAATAGAAGGTCAACCAGGATTAACTCTCACCCATTAAAGTAATTTTACTTGGATATGAAAGTCTTATCATTTTTTCTCATTATCACGTGGGTAATACGAATGATTTTTTCTAGGGCAATCAATAATTTGAGGTATTTGAGCGGTTATTCTATGAATGTCATGATTTTCCTGATTCTAATGAATGTGTCATTTTTCCTTGCATAACAAGTGTGATTTAATTTTCTCACTAATGAAAGCAATGGAAACAATAGCAGCCTGGTGTCCTTGTTATTTATAAACGTGATAAATGGGGATCTCTTGGAGAAAGTTTTATATATTTTATCATGATTAATCATCCAGATAATTTCATTTTTAATGTGGGGAGAAGACTACCTACAATTCGATAGATTATACGTGTAAATCAATATGATACTTTTGTTGTCATTAGTTGATGTGACAACATGGTGCGTCATGGCATGTACATGTTCTTTGGGAAGTACATTGACAATACATGTGCTGTGTTTACATTTTAGATGCATTACTGGTCAAAGGGAAATAACTCTGAGTTGTATAACCAAGAAGCTGGGATATCAATGATGAAATGCAACTTTTGTTGCAATTATTTATAATTTTCACATTGCATGGTTGATTCATATATATATATATACTACTCAGAAGAAGTTAATGTTAAGTTTTACCTCATTATGAAATAGGAAATAGAACTTTCCATCTGTTTTGGTGTTTCTGTAATGTCTGATGATAAGGAGGGTGATGATTTGAATTACATCTTGCAGACTTGCTACCTGTATCAGAAAGTGATTACATGTCTTTCATTTTTGTCAAAAATTATTTTGTTTGTACTTTGTTCACTAGGTTGTGGTATTTTCAATCTAAAACAAATCTTGACTGTCACCTTCTCTGATTAAGAAATGACATTTACTTACTGTGGAAGAAGACAATTTGGGTATCGTTATGTGTAGCAGTGTTTTGATGCATCTTCAAATTCAAAACAAATTATATATTTTGAGTGTGACCACTGTGTGAAAAACCCAAACATTTTCACCATTGCATGTCCATGCTTTAATTGTTTTTTGTATACTTTTTTTTTCAGTTAACAAGATTAGGACCTAAATTTGTGTTCATATCTGGAGTATTTGTGTGTGGAGTATGCTCTGTTCTTTTTGGGTATGTTGTTGTTTTTACGAACCAAAAACAAAATAAAAGCAAGTTTCCCAAGGGGAGACAACTTTTAAAGGTTTATGTTTAGTTTGATGAGGTGATACCACCATTGTTTTTGTGATTTTGTTTGTTTGTTTAATGTTACACTCAGCAATATGCCAACTGTATGACATCATAAGTTTCAATCTATGCAAATAGGATATGATGACATTCATCAACCAAGTCAACCAGTCCAACCACCTGATCCTGTTAATTGCCTCTTACGGCAGCCTGGGCTGCTGAAGATTTATTCTAAATACCTGTGAAGATCAGGGTTAGAATAGGTTTTCAGCAACCTATGCTTGCCGTAAAAGACGACTATGCTCGCCGTAAGAGGGGACTTACAGGATTGGTTGACTTAGTTGATGCATGTCATTGTATCCCAATGGCGTGGATCGATGCTCATGACATTAATCACGAATTGTCTGGTCCAGGCTTGATTATGTTCATACCACTGTCATATAGCTCGAATATTGCTGAGTGCAGCATTAAACAACAAACAAACATATTCTAAAACTTCTTTTAGTCTGACCCAGTGACACTATGGTTTTAAGACTGTGATCTGAAACAGTTGTCTTTTCACCTCCTGGCAGTGTTCCTTTGAAATATATTTGGTCCGGCAACTCCATGTGAGAGACTCTTCACAATAAAAGTCAACGATGAACTTTAATGACCAGTTAACCTTGCATTCTATATATCTAATGGTGAAGAAAAGTTGTCATAGCTTCAAATGTTTCTATAATAATATATTGAGTGACTCATCCCAAACCTGTAATTTAAGCACTGATAATTACTGCTCAGTTGACAAATACTCTATGTGATGGGTATATGTTGCAGGTTATTAGATCGATCTCCATCAGGCACCATCTTCATCGTCATGTGCTTCGTGTGTCGATCTGTGGAAGCCCTGGGTTGTTCAGCATTTATCACAGCTAGTTTCGCAATAGTGGCCAACTCCTTTCCTGACCATGTGACCACCGTGTTTGTGAGTATGTTACCATGGTTACCATTTACAGGCGCAGACATGAGGAACAAAATGTCTTCAACATATAATGTCATACTTAACATGATAGAAGTTTTAAGAACTGACTTCAAAAGTGTTTGCGTTTATAGAAGTTATGGAAGTATTCCATGTTGTTATTCCTTGTTGTTATTTTGTGTTGTTATTCCTTGTTGTTATTCCATGTTGTTATTCCTTGTTGTTATTCCTTGTTGTTATTCCTTGTTGTTATTCCTTATTGTTATTGTGTGGTGTTATTCCATGTTGTTATTCCATGTTGTTATTCCTTGTTGTTATTCCGTGTTGTTATTCCGTGTTGTTAATCCATGTTGTTATTCCATGTTGTTATTCCTTGTTGTTATTCCTTGTTGTTATTCCATGTTGTTTCAGGGCACCTTGGAAACGTTCAGCGGGCTGGGCCTCATGGTCGGACCTCCAATAGGGGGCGCTCTGTACGAGGTGAGTGGTTTTCATGGTGGTGGTTCTGTTTTGTTTGATGCCACACAAAGCAATAATCCACCTATATACTAGGCCATAATACTGAGGAGTTGGTTATAGCTTTGTTTTACTGTAAACATCTACGGCCTGCATCACTCTAGCCCTTACTACCATGTTGACCTGACATGCCATGATGTAACCTCAAAGCTGTTACTCACTGGCCCGCCTGCCATCTTGTCCGCTTGCTCACTAATTATTCGGGGCACGGGTGGCCCAGTCGTCTAAGGCGCCGCGATTCGCTGTGCAGAGTTGCGTCCCCTGGACACGCCAGAAACCTATGATTGTGGGTTCGAATCCCGGTTCGCCCCGATTATGTTTCTAGGTTTGTCAGCACCATACCCGTGCTCGTGGGTTTCACCGAAGTGGTAAACGTCTAAGACCTGCATCACTTCGGGCTTTCCTCCCACATTAAGCTGACACGCCGTGATATAACTGGAATAATGTTAAAAGCGGCGTTAAACCCAACTCACTCACTCACTCACTCACTAGTTATTCAGTGCCAGGATCCCCAAATGACAGAGTATGTGATAGAGCAAAACTTCAGTGAATCGTTACAGCCGTTACAAATATTAATAACCATTTTAAAATATTTTTATTTATTTACTTTCAGCTGGGAGGCTATGGTCTGCCATTCTGGACGCTGGGTTGCGTTAGTCTGGTGTGTGGCGTCACGTCGTACTTCATCATGCCATCGAACAACGGTGGGAACAGTCATTGTAGCTGTCGTACTATTGTCATACCATTGTCATACCAATGTTAGACCATTGTTGTACCATTGTCATAGTGTTGACGTACCAATTTCGTACCATTGTTATGACAGTGTCGTACCGTTGTCATAAGTCTGTCCTCTCATTCCACTATTCATACAGGGTAGTACATAGCCCAGTGGTTCAAGTGTTTGCTTGTCATGCAGAGGCCCCAGGTTCAAATCCCAACAGGTTTACAATGTGTGAAGCCCATTCTTGGTGTTCAGTGCTGTGATATGACAGGAATATTGCTAAAAATGCAATCCACTAACTCACTTCACCTGTCGTAATTTGTATCTGTAATTTAACTTTTCAAATGCAATGTTTTATTTCAATTCTATTTTCTTTTCATACTTTGAGGGGCAGACATTGGCTGTACAGACACGAAAATAGACTCACCAGAACACAAAACAAAAAAAACAAACATTTTTATAATATCACAATTCCCTGCAAAGAGTATAACAACATTATTTTAAGTATGTCAATCAAGCATTTCGGTATTTTCCATTGTACAGTCAAGTTATATGCATAGAGAACCAGACTTACGTTGTTGGGGGTCTTAGATGACTTGGTCTGCTCGTGGTGGAGGTGACACTTTTGCTGTTTTATATATTGTGACATATATATTTGTTCATAAGCTGTAGTAATAAATGACTCGTGCATTGGAAGAACAGGATGTATTGAGTATTTATTATAGGAATGGGTGCTGTCCATCTGTCCGTCATGTTTCGTTTCCAGAGAAGGACTCAAAAACCATGAGAGGTTCTTAACCAAACTTGGCATATAGATAGGTCTAGTGGTAAACTGGTGCTTTTTGATAGAATAGGATTTTTGAAAAAAATATTTTTCAAGTTTCCATAGCAACAACTTTGACTTAGACTGAAAATGGCACTCGTGCCCGTTTCAAGAGAAGATCATGAAAAACGTACAATATTTCTTGCCTTGCAAACAAACGGACATGTCATATTGGCGGGGCATATGAGTTTATCATGCTTGTTATGTTTCAAAATTTGATCAGACTGGAGGTCTGGGTTAAAATATAAGTCCCCGGCAGCCCGGGCTGGTTGTAAGAGGCGATATAAAGGAGACTTTGTTTATAGCATGTCATCTTGATGAAATGTTGCACATGACATCAATCACTGGATTGTCTGGTTCAGAAGCCACATATTTTATCAATATTTCCCCTTAAATATGATATTCCACATGATTGTAATACTCCCACACTTGTTGCAGAGGTGCGCAAACCTTACAAGGGCTCTGTGTTCACCCTCCTGAAGAGTCTGGAGGTGTGGGTCACATGCTTCTCTATATTCTGTGGATCCTTCTCCCTGGGGTTCCTGGACCCCACTCTGGCGGACCATCTCAAGGAGGTGAGTACAGCCTGTGTACCCGGATCTCAGAATGCCGTACCGTGTAAACATCAGTTGGGGGAGTTAAGTTTGCTGTATGGCATTCTGTGTCCACAGTCCTTGTGTTGTCATCTGTTTTCACATTAATTAATTCCATATTGATTTTAAACAGGTACTCGCATTTACGTGGTGAAGCATTAATTTAACAATTTCTGTTTGTACTCTATGGATTTTCTATGGATCATATATTTCATACGAGGCGAATAATGCGATTGGGTGGTCAGACCTGCTGACTTGGTTGATGCATGTCATAGTATCCCAATTGCATAGATCGATGTTCATGATATCAATCACTGGATTGTGCTGCCCAGTCTTGATTATTTACAGACCATCATCATATAGGTGGAATGTTGCTGAGAGAGGCATTTAACAACAATCAAACAATCAAAACAATGAAATCAGATGAAATCATTTTAAAAAATATTTTTCAACTGTTCTGTTTTTTTATATTTTTAGTAAACAATCCACATTTTCTGAGTGCAGTCTTTGGTCTGTTGTAGTTCGGGCTCAGTACTCTCATCGTCGGCTTCATCTTCCTGGCGGCTCCAGCAGTATACGGCTTCACAGCCCCCATCTGGGGGTGGGTCGGAGACTCCAAGGTAACACTGCTCACCACCCACACTGACAAGGCCCAGGGACATACTTCACTATGCCGAGTTGCATCTCTTAGTTGTTCCAAGACCTGCTGGTCATGGGTTCAAGTCCCTGATTCTACCAGAAATGGTCTCTTGTCTGTCAGCACCGTTCAGCTTGGGACCGCCCCTTGTGGTCGAACATCTGCCCGGATTAGCAAAATGTAAGGGGCTCGGTCCCCGGTCGCATCGTACCAAAAGACGTTAAACGATTGTGTTGTAAGAAGTGTATGCCTTATAGTGTTATGGGAAATGTACCCTCTATAGGTTATGAAAAATTATCGCCCTACGGTGTAATCGGGAAAGTGCCCTTACAGCGTTAGGGAAAAGTTCCCCCTATAGTGTTAGGGAAAAGTTCCCCCTATAGTGACAGGGAAAAGTTCCCCCTATAGTGATAGGGAAAAGTTCCCCCTATAGTGATAGGGAAAAGTTCCCCCTATAGTGTTAGGGAAAAGTTCCCCCTATAGTGACAGGGAAAAGTTCCCCCTATAGTGACAGGGAAAAGTTCCCCCTATAGTGATAGGGAAAAGTTCCCCCTATAGTGTTAGGGAAAAGTTCCCCCTATAGTGACAGGGAAAAGTTCCCCCTATAGTGATAGGGAAAAGTTCCCCCTATAGTGATAGGGAAAAGTTCCCCCTATAGTGTTAGGGAAAAGTTCCCCCTATAGTGACAGGGAAAAGTTCCCCCTATAGTGATAGGGAAAAGTTCCCCCTATGTGGTAAGGGAAAATTTCTCCCTATTTTGTAAGGGAAAAGTTCCCCCTATAGTGACAGGGAAAAGTTCCCCCTATAGTGTTAGGGAAAAGTTCCCCCTATGTGGTAAGGGAAAAGTTCCCCCTATATTGTAAGGGAAAAGTTCCCCCTATGGTGTTATGAGAAAAGTTCCCCCTATAGTGTTATGAGAAAAGTTCCCCCTATAGTGTTATGGGAAAGGTTCCCCCTATAGTGTTATGAGAAAAGTTCCCCCTATAGTGTTATGGGAAGAGTTCCCCATATAGTGTTATGGGAAAAGTACCCCATATATTGTAAAGGAAAAGTTCCCCCTATAGTGTTATGGGAAAAGTTCCTCGTATATTGTAAAGGAAAAGTTCCCCTATAGTGTTATGGGAAGAGTTCCCCCTATAGTGTTATGGGAAAAGTACCCCGTATATTGTAAAGGAAAAGTTCCCCCTACAGTGTTATGGGAAAAGTACCCCGTATATTGTAAAGGATAAGTTCCCCTATAGTGTTATGGGAAAAGTTCCCCCTTTAATGTATTTGAGGCAGGCAATACAAACACTAAAATTAAATATCCTCTATGGTGTTATGGGAAAAGAACAAAGTCCATGCTTGTCCATAATGTTGATACTGAGCTTGTAGCACAGTCACCTTTGTGGGTAGCCAACTAACAGCACCTGTACTTGTGTGATGCCAGGGTCAAATCAAGTCGCTGATGATCATTGGGAACTTCATGTCCTGCATCGCCTTCCTCCTGATGGGGCCCTGTCCTCTGCTGCCCTTCCTGCCGTTGTGAGTACACAGAGCATGTCCTTCAGCTTCCCGAGCAGAATACTGAGGCTGAAACATTTCATATACCTTAATCTGCTATATTAACCATTATTTCACAAATGTTTTCATCAAATACTATCACATGGTTTATGAACTTGTTCTTATCTACAGAAAAACATGTGACTTTTGACAGCCTATATTTTGGATGACTCAGTTTTACAGTGAAATACAAAAACATGAGATTTTATCACCGCTATTCATAAGAAATAATATGTAAAAAGAATCTTCATTCTAATAGAGGTGTAACGATACGGGAGGGTCGCGATACGATACGTATTGCGATACAGGGGTCGTGATATGATACATATCACGATACAGTGTTTACTGGTACAAGCTAAGCCAAGTTGATGTCTTTCTGCTCTCTAAAAGATGTGACAAGTACAGTTGAAGAAGATATAAGGTGTTTATTTACTGTAATAGCAAATTGTCAGCAATACAGTATGTTTTACTGAAACAACAAACTGGCTTTGAAACTGTTAAACGTATTTCATGTTTAAAAGTACTTTTCTTGAGTATAGTGCGCACCCATGTATAATGCGCACCCCCCTCTAGCGGGTTCAATATTTTGGAAAAAAAGAAATTTGAATATAATGCGAAGAAAAAAATTACACCGTACCCCTTCAGCGAAGTTCGGCAAACGAACGGGTGATGAGAAACTTTGTCAGTACAAATTCGAAATTTGAGATAAAAAATCACCAGACATGTTGATTTACCGTTTAAATTGTAGTTTTTGTTCAGCTAGGCATTGTTTTATATCCAGGGATTAAGATTACCTTGTGTATTTTCTCGTAAACTAAGCCGGACACAGCAATCAGCTGTACACACGTTTTCTTGGAATCTAACGGTGATTCGGTCAAGACACACCCAATGATATAACTTTACAGGATTTTAATGAAAGGATCGGCAAAAGTTGTATCTGAAACTATTTTTTTATCAGGAATAATATATTCCAATATCTTGTTAATTTAGATGCAGCTTTTACTAAACATATTTAAAATAATAATAACCCTAAGCGAAGCAGCTGATCGCTATTCCCAGGTTTTATTTTTTACATGGAACCAGTCTGACCAGTCAACGTCAAGGCTCCCGTGCACGTGATCGCGAGACATAGAATCGTCCAACAAAAACAAATATGACTTTTAACGAATCAAAGTATGGCATTTATGATATATGTATCTATTCTCTGTCAACTAAAGTTCGTTTCAAGGCGTCAATAACGGTAATCTGACCGTGGTTGCTGTTAATAACGGTGAGTTGTGCGATCTTCCGATCGCTTCACACACGATTTCGCCGAAATTAATTAAAACAATATTAAAAGGAATTTTGAATAAAGTTAATGAAATAGGTTACAAACATAAGTCCAGATATACAAAGAACACTTTTTATAGCCAGACAGTGTAATTACATGAATAATTTCGAACTTCAGTATGGATTTGTTGACATGGTATTTCCGGTGTTACGTGCTCACGGTAATGTCTTTCCATGGGGGAAAAAACATCAAAACTCATTAATTCGTGTATAATGCGCACCCCCTTCTACACAGCTGTGTTTTTTTGGGGAAAAAATGTGCACTATACTCAAGAAAATAAGGTAAGTAAAACTGTGTTATGAAAATATCGTATGTATCGCGATACATGCTTTCCAAATCGATGCATCGTATCGTGGGCTGTGCATCGGGATACAATACTGTATCGCCGTATCGTTACACCACTACATTTTAACAATCAGTTATTTTTCTATATCTTTCCATGTTAAAACTAGTAAAAGATTTTCATCATTAGTAGCTACACTAAATTAAATCTGGAGGTTGAAATGTGAGGAAAACGAGTTTGGAACACCTACATTGAATTTTATAACTACTTTAAACCAAAAGGCCTTAGCATGAAATAATAATATGAACAGTTGGTAAGGAAGAGGGGGATCAACTTTTGTTTCTTCTTTTGTATCGAAGTTAAACACGTTCAAGCAAAGTTTCTCCTTTATATGTATGATGTTTCTACACATGTGCTTTTTTCTCCTCAGTGAGTTGTGGCTGGTTGTGATCAGCTTGGTGATGGTGGGGCTGTTTATTGGCTGTGCTCTCATACCTACCATCAACTGCCTCCTCATTGGTGCCAAGTAAGTAGATCAGCTGTTATTAGGGTTATAACCTCCTTCTGGGTACCAAGTAAGTAGATCAGCTGTTATTGGGGTTATAACCTCCTTCTGGGTACAGACCGCCTCCGTGGTCTAGTGGTAGAGCGTCCGCCCGGAGAGCGGAAGGTCCGGGGTTCGATCCCCGACCGCGTCATACCAAAAGACGTTAAAAGATGGTACTTGTTGTCACCCTGTCTGGCGCTCGGCATTAAGGGGCTAAAACAAGGACTGGTCGGCTCGGAGTCAGTATACTGTGTCTGAGTGGGGTATTCATGTTAAAACTGCGGCATGGTATCTCAGTGAGCTAGCACTATAAATCGGCATCAGTCCGGACTAGTACAAGCAGCCACACACACACACGTGCATGCACGTCGCTATATAAGTGCAATAATCTGGGACGCGACGTTAAACCCCATTTCACCTCACCTCACCTTCTGGGTACCAAGTAAGTAGATCAGCTGTTATTGGGGTTATAACCTCCTTCTGGGTACCAAGTAAGTAGATCAGCTGTTATTGGGGTTAAAGCCTCCTTCTGGGTACCAAGTAAGTAGATCAGCTGTTATTGGGGTTATAACCTCCTTCTGGGTACCAAGTAAGTAGATCAGCGGTTATTGGGGTTAAAGCCTCCTTCTGGGTACCAAGTAAGTAGATGAGCTGTTATTGGGGTTATAACCTCCTTCTGGGTACCAAGTAAGTAGATCAGCTGTTATTGGGGTTAAAGCCTCCTTCTGGGTACCAAGTAAGTAGATCAGCTGTTATTGGGGTTATAACCTCCTTCTGGGTACCAAGTAGATAGATGAGATGTTATTGGGGTTATAACGTCCTCCTGGGTGCTCAGTAAGTAGATGAGCTGTTATTGGGGTTATAACCTCCTTCTAGGTGCCAAGTAAGTAGATGAGATATTGGTGTTATAACCTCCTTCTAGGTGCCAAGTTAGTAGATCAGCTGTTATCGGGATTATAACCTCCTTCTGGGTGCCAATAAGAAGATGAGCTGTTATTGGGGTTATAAGCTGCTACTTCTTGTCGCAGATATAGGGGACAGAATTCTTTGTGGTTTCAGTTTAATGATGAAATTTTACGTTTGCATATTTTTTCAGGAAACTTGGATTTAAAGAAAATATAGACACTTATGGCCTCGTCTCAGGCCTTTTCAATTCAGCGTACTGTTTGGGGTGAGTGTTAATTTCAGTTTCCCTTATAATAATATAAGTAACATATTGATAAATTTCCATAACTTAGGCAGTTAGGGAGGAAAATATCTTAATGTACTGTGTCAGCAACATAATGTCTTATTTGTGCTGGCATATTCTAGTTTTCCCTTTTTGTCAAATGCTGCAGGAAACATTTCAGGTGAGCCTGATGGCTCTATTTCTCTTGTTGTAACTTCCATTGTTGTATTACAGGACGTTCATAGGCCCCACACTTGGTGGAGTGTTAAAGCAGCACTTTGGTTTTGACTGGGCAGCCACATTAGTAGCTGCATTGTTTCTACTAGCTGTAAGTATCCACACAGTTGCCTTGTAGAGCACACTGACCTGTATATACTTCTCAAAGTTTGCTAAGGATCACCTCCTTAAAAGCTAATACATCAAATTGTGTGTACCTGTCGAAATAGCCAAAGTCAATATTGCATGAAGACATGTTTAATGAACAAAAGTCCATTGTCATGTGCCACACAATGTCAACAAACAACATGTGACCAATAATCAGTCAGATCATCCATCAAAATGAGAGTTTCTGACCAAAACTGTAAACTAAAAAAATCACGAAAACAATTTCATTGTTAAAAAACATCACACTCTTAGTAGCTCGTATATGATCTATGTGATGCAATCACAGCCTGGCACATGCTATGTCTCATGCTCCCAATAGGTTTCTGGATGCTTGTTCTACTCTTCAGTAAGAGCATTGCAAAATTCCTGTAGAGTTGCCGGAAGGACAGGATGTCCTGAGAGGGCAGTCTGCAGCTTGTTCAACATGTGTCTGATAGGGTTGAGGTCTGGTAACCGGGCTGGCCACTCCATGCAGGCAATGGTCGGCAGCAAGAGATGATTATGCACCGAGTAGGAACATTAGCACCACTGGCATTCCGCAGGTCATTTCTGAGTTTTGTGGCAGCCACGAAGTGATGACATCTTGCTGCGATCAGGAGAAACCTGTCTTCTCACTGTAAGGTGGAATGTTGTCATCTGGTATTTATTCCATGTCCTGCAGATCATACTTTGGCTGACATCAAAGACGTTTGCAATGTGACCCAGTTTAAAGCATGACTATGCATCTGCCTAATTCTTCGGTCATCAAATGACGTCTTTGATTCTGAACCTTTAGTTTGTCAGCACCATACCTGTTCTGGTAGGTTTCACCAAACCTGTGCTGGTGGGTTTCACCAACAAGCTCAACACCTAACAACTGCATCTTTCATTTATGGAGACCGGTTTTGACGTTTATACCTCCATGGCAGTCATTTACCCGTGAAGATTCCGGGGTAGAATCGGTCTTCAGCAACCCATACTTGCCGTTAAAGGCGACTATGCTTGTCGTAAAAGGCGACTAACGGGATCGAGTGGTCAGACTCGCTGACTTGGTTGATGCATGTCATCGATCCTAATTGCTTGGATCGATCCTCATGATATCAATCAGTGGATTGTCTGGCCCAGACTTGATTATTTTACAGACCGCCGTCATATAGCTTTAATATTGCTGAGTGCGGTGTTAATCAACAAACAAACAAACAAACAATTCTTAATAATACATCAAATGTAGGATATGACATGATTTCCATGTTTGTTGCAGGGTATAAGTGTGTCTCTATATACATGCAGCACGAAGCCTTGTTGTTGCGGTGATGACAAAAGAAGTGACTACACAGTATTAGATGGGTCTACTGAATCTTCACCCATAGAAGGGTCATTGGAAGAAACTTCAGCGTGATATGTAACATGTTTTCATATTTTTTAAGTCTGTTCTTAGTATTATAGCCTCCAAACTGATCTCATTTGAAAACAAGTTTATTTCAGCCACATGTTTTGTTTTTCCCTGGTACTTCAGACGAGACATTTGTTTTAAATGATTTACAGATCAGCTGACCAAATGAATTTGAAAAGGAAAAAGAAAATCTTTTGAGTACTTCTTATACTTTGTGGAATCCAAATTTCTTCTTCACCACTGCCGTGAAACTAACACTGCATCCACAGCAACAAATTCATTTTATATAAAAAACAAAATATGTGCAGGATATTTTTATATTTAATTTTGTTCCTATCTTAAGACGTGGATTGGTGACAAAAATGGTGTAAGCTGTCAACCAAAAATGTGTGTTTTTTTGTGCAAATATAGATTTATGTTATTAGGTTCAGCATCATATCAGAATTAAGACCTCTGTGAAAGGCTTAAAAAAGTAATAGAATTGGTTCTCAAGGCACTGGTTTATGAAAATATAGTGCAGGCGGGCAGTATCTTTTTTCTTTTTTTTCTTTTTTCTTTTTCTTGGGTTTTTCAAACCATTGAACACATAAACAGTTGTGTAACCAAATACTCCCTACATATATGTATTCCTTGATGAGTATAATACTTGAATACAGTATTTGACTACAGCTGGACTTGGAATATTTAAGGATTTTTATTGTTGTTTGTTGAAAAATGGAAATAAAAACGAAATCTGTGGTGAACTTTATGATGATGCGGGCAGTGCCTAAGAACCAAGATTATTATTTTTTTTAGCCAAACAAGAGTAAACATTGTCTGGCCTGGAGCTGGAGGTAATATATCACGGTCATAATGATATGTTTTCCTAAGACCCCTGGATAAAAGTTGAGTACCAACCATAATTTATTTTCATATGTCTAAGACAACCATAAATCTTTTGGAAATGTGTACATATGACATTCATTTCATTTTGATAAGTATCTAAGATACCACGTACACCTACTGAAAAGAGGATACTAGAGTTATCGATGCAAAGATGCTGAGGATGCAGTCAAATAACTATTCTACCATAACATTGAAGAATGCTGAATTCTGATTGGTTAAAATAAAGTATCAAATTTCCATTTGACACCTCTAGATTAAGCCTTTTCACTCACAAAATGTGGATATGAATACATTGATAGCCTCCATATCAATCCATAGAAATATGGCTGCCGACCCATCAGAACTGCATATGTTTGATTGCTGTTGAAAGAGTAGTCAAATAATTGTTGCCATGAAACAGTTCAAAAACTTGTCATAAGATTATCAATTTCGTATTCAATGTTACATTTTAAACCAAAACAAATATTTTTTGGACAAATGGCTATTTCATATGGAAATAAATAATGTAGCAAGCCTTGCTTAACTTTTTCCCAAGTGTATATTTTATCCTTTTTAGCTCACAGAAAGTGAGTCTATGGCATGGTGCTGTAATCTGTAACAGTGCTTCTGCCGTCTGTCGGTCCGTGTTCTTGTTACTATCATTTGAAAGAGCTAAGGGGATGAACCTGAAGTTTCAGGGGGTAATAGCATCATGCTAAATACCAAATTTTGTTTGTGAAATTGTTTGACAAGAACCATATGAAACTGATGCTAAAGTTAATTACTTTACATGTCTGTTACTAAGACAAAATTGTTATGGATGAGCAACTTCTTTATTACAATTGGGCAACATTTCGGTGTAGATTCTAACACCGTTATCAAGCAAATGATCATCATTTGCTTGATAACGGTGTTAGAATCTACACTGAAATGTCGGAAATTTTGTCTTTGTTACCATTCCAACTTCTAAATGCCACTCAAAGAAATGTCGGTTACTGCTGTTACTGCATTGTCAGTACCTCACAGGCTTGTATGCACTCTGTACCTCCATCACAATGACTACTTATGGCCACTGTGCAGTGTGGTGCTACTTTAAACCAACAAATCAAACTACAGCCTGCATCCAACAAACGGAATGTCAGCGATTGTGCTGATCAGTGAGCGATCTGATTACGCCACATGAACGGCAATGTTTCTTGTTCGACAAGGGGGCACAGTCATCTCAGGCACCTCAATTCGCTGTGCAGAGTTACGTTGGGTTCAGCATGGGTCACAGCCTTGAGACCATCATCTCTGCAATGGCAGGCAGTGGTAGGATTCACAAAGTTGGGATCATGTTTACTACCATGAGCTGTTCACTGCCTCGTTTGATTTAAATTAGACCAATAACACCACTACACTGCTAGTACATGTTTGTCTACATCAGCAGTCGGTACTCAGTGGTGATGGAGGAACTGATACAAGCTGTGATGTACGGACGAGGACTGGGAAGAAATAGGCAGAAAGTGCTTTTCCTTTAATGATCATATTGACTTTTTCACAGGATATAGACACACAGAGGATGGACATGTGGGGAGCATTTACTTCAATGTCTCAGATGTACATTTCTAGACAGTATTTCTTTTGTGTGTAACAATTCAAGATATATATATACAAAGACAATAAATATGTTTGTTATATATTTATTCAACCCAAATATACTCAGAATATTGTATTTTTTAAGATATCTTTTTTTATTGAATTATTCATATAACTGAAATAGATTATCTATGGGTAATAATGCCAATCCATTCATGTTATTTTGTGATACAAAAGTGGTGTATGTGGGAGTGTTGTGTGAGACATGTTTATCTCTCGAAGAATGTTTTGAACAAAAATTGTTGTCCGAATCTTTAAAAATATTCACGAAATCAAATATTTTCCACTGGCTATTAACTTGAACAGGGCTCTCAGACTGACTTGGTTCTGATGTTTGTGATAAATGAACCCTTGTTACCTTGACAGATCTCGAAGACAATGCAACTTTATAGTCCCAGCAGAATTCTTCTGTGTTTCTTGTTATTAGACCCTGACAAAGTCCGAGTTGGAGTCAATATATGTAAAAAGTGTATACTGGTCCCAGGCAGAACTTTCTCAGCTGTGTTAAGTTCCTGATTTAGTTGAGACTGCTGGGTGATTATAGTCGTTGAACCATCTTCCCAAGGCAAGGGAGTTAACTGACTACAAAAGTCAAGTTTCCACCCTTGCCAAACTAGGCTGGAATATAGAGTTATATTTTGGCTGAACCAATTGTCTCCAACTCGAGGGGAAATACTTGAACACACACCCATTGTCTCCAACTCGAAGGGAAATACTAGGACACACATCCGTTGTCTCCAACTCTAGGGGAAATACTTGAACACACAGCTGTTGTCTCCAACTCTAGGGGAAATACTAGAACACACACCTGTTGTCTCCAACACTAGGGGAAATACTTGAACACACACCTGTTGTCTCCAACTCTAGGGGAAATACTAGGACACACACCTGTTGTCTCCAACTCTAGGGGAAATACTTGAACACACACCTATTGTCTCCAACTCTAGGGGAAATACTTGAACACACACCTATTGTCTCCAACTTGAGGGGAAATACTAGGACACACACCTGTTGTCTCCAACTCTAGGGGAAATACTTGAACACACACCTGTTGTCTCCAACTCTAGGGGAAATACTTGAACACACACCATTGTCTCCAACTCTAGGGGAAATACTTGAACACACACCTATTGTCTCCAACTTGAGGGGAAATACTAGGACACACACCTGTTGTCTCCAACTCTAGGGGAAATACTTGAACACACACCTGTTGTCTCCAACTCTAGGGGAAATACTTGAACACACACCTATTGTCTCCAACTTGAGGGGAAATACTAGGACACACACATGTTGTCTCCAACTCTAGGGGAAATACTTGAACACACACCTGTTGTCTCCAACTCTAGGGGAAATACTTGAACACACACATGTTGTCTCCAACTCTAGGGGAAATACTTGAACACACACCTGTTGTTTCCAACTCTAGTGGAAATACTTGAACACACACCTATTGTCTCAACTCTAGGGGCAATACTTGAACACACCTGTTGTCTCCAACTCTAGGGGAAATACTTGAACACACACCTATTGTCTCAACTCTAGGGGAAATACTTGAACACACACCTATTGTCTCCAACTCTAGGGGAAATACTTGAACACACACCTATTGTCTCAACTCTAAATATATACTCAATGTATTTGTTATAGTCCCAAGACTTTGGGTTTTCTAGGTGTTGCTGTATGTTGCATCTTCTATTATCAAGGGTATTATATATCTCTGTTTTATGATAAATACCCTGGACCTGTTCACAACCATACCTTTGCTTCAGGAGGGATATCACCAGCTCCACTGATCTATTTCATGAAATTAGAAGACTGTTATTAATGAATATTCAACTTAAAATGATGTTTTCCTTTGTACTAAGACAGGGTTGAGAGTTCCTTATGTGACATGACGCTCCAGCTGCATTTGAGAATAGAAAATAGAGTAGAAAAGTTAGATGGTTTCGCCTTTTGTTTCAATCATCAAAGAACAATGTCACTTGATAAGGTGTCTATTTTTTGCTTCATATCAAAAGTCTCAAAGTGGGTCCAAGGTTTACATGTCTATAAAAAATACATGGACCCACAGTTTCATACTTGGCAAACTAGGTAGGACAGCCTTCACTCTTTGATAATAAAGAGTTATTAATTTTATTAATTATTAATATTAATTGCTAATCAAGAGTGATATGATTGAGGACACCCACCAATATATATTTTTTTAACCAACCAGCATTTTTCCATACCCCCCTATTATTTGGGGCTTGGTTGTTCCTTCATTTGCCATGAGTGTTTGCCAGGTCAGGATGATTTCATAGTCCCATTTTTGGAAAATGATTTTGGATCTTATTCCTTAAAACTCCTTTCTGATGATGATGCTCTTGAGTCCTTCATGTTTACTAGTTGATGAAACTAAAGTTAAAATGAAATATGATGTACTGATATTCAAGTTTCCAATGGTATGTTGTAACTTACTATATATAATGTTGTCTGATGTTTTTAGTTTTGCCAATATATTAAATTAAGTAAATGGAATATTCTATAAGTATAATATTGTGTTTATATAAAGAGAGAAAATGTATAAGTATATCTTCTCAGAAACTACAAGGCCCAGAAAACTGAAACCTTATACAACAGTCCATGATTACTTTCAAGCGTGAAGAATATTTATCAGAACTTAACTTGGCTAAATCAATGTTTACTTTTTATAGGACTATGTGTCTTCACATTGCCATAGTCTTGCCACTGTTCAAAGTTTATATGTGTGGGTATCTACAGATGTTATTTTGATTTTGATCATTATGATCCCTTTATAAGTCTGTGTAAATCCAATAGTCTTTCACTTTATGAACCACTTCTGCCTTCCTAATTACTCATATTTGACTGTCTGAAATTGCAAATTGCATAGATGTTGTTTTATGGTTTATAGTGTTTTGTGATTTGTTGTCATTATTTTCTGTTTCAACCCCTCAGGAACACTCTATTGTGATAAATGCCCTTCAATGAAATCCTTTCTGAATATACTCTCAATGTACAGATCCACCAAATAAAGAGTGATAACAAATATATTGGGAGAATTCAGAGACAAGAAAGACCTATATTATGTCTGGCTTTATAGAAAAGTTAGTAATAAAAGAAATGCTTTTACCTGTTCATAATGGAAGTTGAATGTCCTTTCTATGTTATAATGATGTAAAAATGATGTTCCCGGACAAAAAAAACTACAGCCTTCTTTATACACTTGAATCACTCTTTTAAAGCTTTTGGATAAGAGATCAAAATATACAAAAAGTAATAATTTAATAATGTTTTTTTATCTGTTGATAAAAATATTGTTGATGGTGTAAGGAAAATATTTAAAGTATATTTTTGACGAATCATAGGGTTGCTTCCCGTGCCCCTGTTTAGTAAACAGATATGTGGAAAGACATAGAAACCACATGTCGTCCCTTTAATTCATACAAGTTCCCTCCTCACGACAGTGAGTGAGTGAGTGAGTTGTGTTTAACGCCGCTTTTAACAGTATTCCAGTTATATCGCAGCATGTCAGTTTAATGTGGGAGGAAAGCCCGAAGTGATGCAGGTCTCAGACGTTTACCACTTCCGTGAAACCCACGAGGAGCACGGGTATGGTGCTGACAAACCTAGAAACATAATTGGGGCGAATCAGGATTCGAACCCACAATCATAGGTTTCTGGCGTGCCCAGGGGACGCAACTCTGCACACTGAATCACGGCGCCTTAGACGACTGGGCCACCCGTGCCCCCCCTCACGACAGAGTGAAGACAGGTAGCAGTAGAACTCGTAGTGATACTAGTGTTGTAGTAGTAGTTTCCAGTTTGTTATTGTATGCATTTATGATGGAAATTATTTAACATTGTTTCATTGTTAACAATATGGTAAGAATGGCTTCTTTCTCTGCTGACTTGTCAAATTTTCATGTCTCATGCCTTCTCAGCTCCGGAATGAGCGAGTGAGTGAGTTGGGTTTAATGCCGTTTTTAACACTATTCCAGTTATATTACGGCGTGTCAGCTTAATGTGGGAGGAAAGCCCAAAGTGATGCAGGTCTTAGATGTTTGCCACTTTGGTGAAACCCACGAGCACGGGTATGGTGCTGACAAACCTAGAAACATTATCTGGGTGAACCAGGATTCGAACCCACAATCATAGGTTTCTGGGATGCAAGGGATGCAACTCTGCACAGTGAATTAGACGACTGGGCCACCTGTGCCCCCTTGGAATGAAAATATAAACAGAAAAAGGACAAAATATACATTGGTATACAACTGATAAGTTGTCTGTTGTACATTTATATATGTAACTGCTTCACAAAACTTGTTATGAATTTTGAAAGTTTTCTAAGAGTGCATTTCACAACAAGAGTGTTATTGGTGTTGAGAGCTTACAACACAAGAAAATAAAACTGTGTGAAGAGTTTCCTGATTCTTTGACCTTCTTTCCAATAAGATAAAGCAAATGTTACACAACATTCCTTGTGATATGGTTTTATTCCGATGGAAGTATGTTATGCATACTACTCCAAAGAATTTAAGAACACTCAATTTTTTCATATTACTAGAATTGATCCGTCATGCCATGACACATTAACTACAGTAAACTACGGTTATTACAATCTCAAAGGGACCACTAATTTTAGTTTGTTATAACCATAGTTTGTTATAAGCATGTATACAGCATATATACAGTAAATGTTGGGACAAAAAAAATAAGTTTGTTATATCCGTCAATTCCTTATAAGCGTGTTATAAGCATAGTTTACTGTATAGTAAACTGAAAGAATCAGGTGGTCCTTAACTTCTTTTGACTAGTATACTTCATCCAATTTGTGCTATTTTTTATTCTGTTCTTACAAATATGGAACCATCATTTGTTGTTTGTTTTTTATTTTTTTTATTTCTGTAAAACAAGAGATTTGTTAAGTTTTCGTATTATTTGCTAGTTTTGACAACTGGTGAAATAAATATGATGTGAATTATTCAAGAATGTTGTGATTTGTGGGGTTCACTCTGTAGCTCATTCATTCTGGGGTCATAATGATGCCCTTCATTTTCAGGGTAAGGATGTGTTGGTTTAAACTGGTATTATTGACTAGAAATATTGAAAAGTTTATTTTGTCAGATGGAAACCCCACAGAAATTACAATTTTAATTTGATAATGAACTTTTGAACTGGCCACTTATTTTATATAAGTTATGATGCTGCCAACACTCTTTTGGTACGCAGGGGCACGGGTGGCCCAGTCGTCTAAGGCGCCGCGATTCGCTGTGCAGAGTTGCGTCCCTTGGGCACGCCAGAAACCTATGATTGTGGGTTCGAATCCCGGTTCGCCCCGATTATGTTTCTAGGTTTGCAGCACCATACCCGTGCTCCTCGTGGGTTTCACCGAAGTGGTAAACGTCTGAGACCTGCATTACTTCGGGCTTTCCTCCCGCATTAAGCTGACACGCCGCGATATAACTGGAATACTGTTAAAAGCGGCGTTAAACACAACTCACTCACTCACTCACTGTCGTGAGGAGGGAACTTGTATGAATTAAAGGGACGACATGTGGTTTCTATGTCTTTCCACATGTCTGTTTACTAAACAGGGGCACAGGAAGCAACCCTATGATTCGTCAAAAATATAAAAAAGCGGCGTTAACCCAACTCACTCACTCACTCACTTTCGGTACGCAGGGGTCTATTTTGAGGGTCATACGTAGGAGGCAAATAAAATCAGATTTAGTATATAGATTCAACATGTAAAAAGAAATATGTGTGTACATACATGAAAAGGTCCTTCATATATTATATTTTAAAAAGATTTCAGTAATTTAACTTCAATTACACCCTTTTCTCAATGCTTGTGAGATTTGTGTTAAGTAGTATTGGGGATTCAAGGGTGGACTAATGAAACATTTGATGGTATTCCAGATTTAGAGGCTTGTGTATTGGCATCCTCAGTTATGGGAGTGAGTGAGTTGGATTTAACGGCGCTTATAACATTATTCCAGTAATATCATGGTGTGTCAGCTTAATGTGGGAGGAAAGCCCCAAGTGATGCAGGTCTCAGACGTTTACCACTTCAGTGAAACATGGTGCTGAGAAACCTAGAAAAATAATCGGGCGAACCGGGATTCAAACCCACAATCATAGGTTCCTGGCATGCCCAAGGGAAGCAACTCTGCACAGTGAATCGCGGGGCCTTAGATGACTGGGACACCCATTGCCCCCCAACACACACACCAAGTTAAGTTATCGGAACAAATGATTTATCTTCAAAACGCAGCATCAGCACTTTTTTAGCATTTGAACTGAGCATGCAAGCTGGAGGGAGTTGGGCCCCACCCCCTCCCTTCATTTTGAAACTCATATAGGGCTCCCCAATGACCTTTATGTTATCGAAATGTCTGATGTAGTTAAACACATGACATGGTCACTCTTGTACTCATCAATTGATTCTACTATATGAAGTAACACCATCTCAAACTGTGATCAAAGTGGGACTTGGTATAAAGGTTCATCTTTTGGAATAGTCCCAACCAATTTGGTTCAAGTCCCTCAAACAGTACTTTGTCTGCTCAAAATTGTTTATTATCCTCAAATACTTGTTTTTCTGCTAGTTCAAAGTTTATTTATATCAGTCTAACGGTTAATGGTTACTCTAATTACACAGAGACTTTCAATTTCACACACAGTACAGTACCTGGAATGAACGAGTGAGTGAGTATGGTTTTACGCCGCTTTTAGCAATATCACGGCGGGGGACACCAGAAATGGGCTTCACACATTGTACCCATGTCAGGAATCGAACCCGGGTCTTCGGCGTGACGAGCGAACGCTTTAACCACTGGGCTACCCGACCGCCCCCTGGAATGAACGATGAAGCAGTCTTCCTTCCCTTCACATTTCTTTGCGTGGAGAAAATCGTATAACAAAAGATTCGGGTGAAAACTCATATATATCCTAATCAGTAGTCGCCTATTCCTACTAGTACAATTAGTCTATCTGTCGAGTAAATCATTCAGATTTCAGGCAGTTCGTATTTTGACATTGAAATTTCAGTCATTTTACAAATTAAATGACTTTAGATAACGACTGTACATAATATAACATCTACATTCTTTCTATGACGTCTGTAGAAACATGCACTGTGGGGAATCAACAAGGGACGCAGCGTATTGAGATGCTATATAATTAGATCACTGGGCTACTTGGCCCCATTTATATACAACAGAAGTTAGGCCAAAAGCCGACTTACACAATTCACACGTGTACAGATTCGCAATAATTGCGGATCTATCGTGTGTTTGGGGCGAGATCAGAGGAACCGCACATCACACACAACGTGCCCCGTCACAAAAAGCTTTGGTTTAGCGCACTTCGGTCGTCAGTCATATTAATGTTAACACAGACTTACGACAGACGTAACGCTTACATTATTTCTTCAACAAAGTTCATCATTTTGGAGATAATGTATAGCGTGAACCTGAATCTCGATTGAACAACCTGCGTAATGTCTCATCCACAAGTGCTTGCATAACAACCTAAAGCCTATAGCGGATGCACAACGTTTATTCAGTGAAGGAAACTGTTTGTTTCATATGCGAGAAACGATTGAGTGACCTCAGGCAACCGAGGTTACCACATTTTGAGTGAATCAAGTAGGGCTGGGACGGGTGGGTACTGTGTAGGACCCGGGTACCCACAGGACTACCCGGACCCGTGGTTAGTCACATGATATATTGTTTAATGACAAAAAGTATCGAGAACTCTATGGTAACACTACAAGTCACTAATGTTCGCATTTCTTTCTGACTGTGCACCAATTCCTTCTGATATTTCATATGATCGAATAATGATATAACTTAATTCAACTTCAGTGTATGAATGACCAGATTGTTTGATTCATGCATTTTGCCAGGGCTATGCTAAAAATGTTCCCAATCGGACATTTTGAGACATCTCCTGAGACCTTCAGTGGGTACCCGGGTAGGGTCGGGTAATAGGGAGGTGGGTACCCGGGTAGTAAATTTGGAATCATCCCAGCCCTAGAATCAAGGATAACTAAGGACAGTACCCGAAATAACATGAAACCTTATGTGTAATACAAAATGGCTCTCAGGGGAAACACAACAGCCATGTGTATTGCTAGAAAACACAAATACGAGAGGAGGCTCATTGCATCATAACGCTGGCTTTGTACCTTTTCTATTTAATTCATGTAAAACGACAAGTTCAAAATAATGCAACAAATGCAAAATCATCATCAAAGTTTGTTTGTTTGATGTTTAACGCTGCACTCAGCAATATTCCAGTTATATGACTGCAGTCTGTATATAATCGAGTCTGGCCCAGACAATCCAGTGATTAAACATCATGAGCATCGATCCACTCAATTGGGATACGAAGACATGCATCAACCAAGTCAGCGAGCCTGACCACCCGATCCCGTTACTCGCCTCTTACGACAAACATAGTCGCCAGTAAGTTCATTATAAAGAGATTCTAAAGTAATTACATCATCAATCGAAATTTAAATTCCCTGATGTATATCAGAGTACGTGAGGCTGCCAACACCATTTTGGTACGAGGATTTCGGGGGTCTATTTAGAGCAGGGACGGATCCAGTATTTAAAAAAGAAATCTTGAAGGGGTAGGTCCACCCAAAAGATCACAAACACTATATGTAAATCGCTACTATCAATTTTACTTTGAACATGTTATCATTGAAGGAAATGCGCATATGAAATGTCGTCAGATGTGGAGTGAGTGAGTGAGTTTGGTTTCACGCCGCTTTTAGCAATATTCCAGCAATATCACGGCGGGGGACACCAGAAATGGGCTTCACACATTGTACCCATGTCGGGATTCGAACTCGGATCTTCGGCGTGACTAGCGAACGCTTTAACCACTAGGCTACCCGACCGCCCCTTCAGATGTGGAAAAAAAAACAGAAAAAAAAACTTATATAGCGAATATATACGTAAGTAAAATGAGCACCTCGTGTGTATATTTGAAAGAAAGCAACATTTAAAGTCAGTTTCGTATTTTTTAAGTGCAATGCAACATCATAGCTTACCATCTTGTACATACACTACATTCTGCTAACGATGACTCAATTTTTTAATATCTATCACCCCTCTCGTCCACTTAATGCGTCATTCGTTTATGACGTCATCCAAATCATGACGTCATAGACAGTATGTCACAGTGACTTTTGTCACTATCGATTAGCAGGTGCGTGTTTACAAAGATAAGACAATGGGCATGGAGAAAAAATGCTGCATCTAGAACTGAAACTGTATAGTTAGAATGCCAAAAATTATAGATAGATATTATCTTACTGTAACCATTCATATTATTTATCATATCAAAACGTAGACTCATTAAGTCATTGGTCCAATGGCTGCGGATAGAAAAATATTCATATTCACAACTATAAACGCGTTGTTATTGTTAAGGCGTGAGTAATGGTAAATAAAGATCCCCGTATAAATAGTGCATGGTCTCATCTCTTTAATATCATCAATATAAGATAATAACGTCCGCACAGTATTTAGCATTTCATTTCTTAATCAATTACAAAAACAATGATTGATTTGTTTTAATTGTAACATAGCAAAATATCTACGAAACCTCATTTATCAGTCAACATTATAAGAGAATGATCCAAAGTATTCGGAATTAGTCATTATTTTTCCTCCTTCCTGTTTCGCAAGGCCAGCTGAAACACGAGTGCGTTTGCGGAAGTGGATTCGAATAATTTATGCGAATATAGATTTTTGAGAAATAAGAACGGGCTTTTACTATGGTTATTTCGACATTATTTTTCGTTAAAACAATTATACAGTTTAAGGTTTATTTTAGCACATTGGGAGAAATAAATCTGGACTGCACATTTGGTGGAACAATGTGTCTAATTTGTATGACAAATTAGTAATTCAGAAACTCCCGCGGAATGACGTCATGCATATCCCACATGGTACCCAACATGCATTTCGCAGACAAAATGTCGTTCGCCATATTGTAAGACATTCCTATTGGGTCAACCTTTATCCGATGCAATCAAGGTTAGCATCATTTTGTATTTTATCTGCATGTGTGTTTGTCATTAACGTAGAAACTGAGGATATGTGACCTGATGCTATTTTTCTCCAAATGGCAAAATCTACACGGTAATGGCCGTCGTAATCACCTTCCTGCCTGTCTCCCGCCATGTTATTATTTGTTGATAATTCATAATTGAAAGGAGCGGCAAAACGAGTCATTCTGGTATATACAACTTCCGTTATATTTGCATTTTGCACAGGTTGACGCAAAGTGCTAGAATGAACAGTCAATGCCTGTTTCAAGTATGAACGAAGTTTCTTGGAACGACAGCCAAGGGATGTTGACAAATTCACGAGAAATGGCGGGGATAAGACAAAACCAAGGACCAGGTAGTCGATCGCAGGACGATGCCATGGTTGGCTACTTTTTCCAGAGACCACAATCGGATACGGAACTTATGGGTGGATACACTAATAAGCGATGGGCAGTAGGGGACGACAGTGTCATAGAACAGGTAATATCAAACTCCAGAAACATTTGTTTTCATTCCTTGCGCGGCTTCCTGCATGCCTTGGATTTGTTTTTGTGTTATTCTCGCGGTTTTTTTGTGTTGTCAGTGCTCAGTGTATGTGTATTATTGCGTAATGGATATGCATGCATCAGTTTATAACATTTTATTGACTATTGCAGGCGAGAGGGATGCAGGTTCAAGATTTAGAAAGAGACTTCCATGGATTGACACTCTCTCGCGAGGTAAGTGGCAGCCATTTTGGATCCTGGGTTTTCACACAAAGCAAACAAAGGCTTTGCAAGCCCCAACAACTTCGAACAAAAGGAGTAAAAAATATGCCACCTTGTATCATTTAATAATAGTTCATACGTATTGTCAAGACTGTTTTACGTGCCTTGAGCGTGAAAGTGATCTTGCATAGCTTGATTGTTTCCCTAAGTGTTTACAAACTTTCTAGGTCAAGTAAAGTTCGTGCTATGGCATAGTGCAATGAACAGACATTTTAAGCCCTAATATTACTTTTTTGACGAGAACTATTGGCTACTTTGCCAAGAGGTCATACACAAATCAGTACTGAGTAGAGTATGGTAACTGTCATAGCAAAATAATGATATGATTTTGAAGAAAAGTTCTGAAAAAGTATTGTGACGCCTGGGTTATGTTGCACTAGTCTGGTGAAGTTAGCCAGATTGGCTGACTGTACACAAATATTGGCGCTGGGAATCCTGTGTTTGTTACTTGTAAATATCCAGTACACCCTTCCAAGAAACTCATTGTTCTAAAGTTCATGGATGTAGAGTTTTGTTTGGCCAGATTATTTCCAAGTTTTCAAAGCCATATTCGGAGAAATGCCTTTGAAGTCAGACATTTCACATCAGAAAATAAATTGCATGGATACTTTCTCAAGCTCAAGCTCAAACATCTTTTACTACTTGCAGGAAGTAATTTGGAAGACTTAAATATTATTTGCAATTTTCTTTGCCCTTTTGGTATCAAGATTAAACATGTTAATAGTTTGGGCAAATCAGGTTTCATTATATTTTTGCCTGAATTTGGTTTGTTGACATGACTTTGGTATTTTGAATAGAATCTGCACACAAAATAACTGACATCAAAAGAGAATATATCTAAGAATGTATTGAATTATCTAATAGAGATTGTCATATCTACTACTATGCATATGTTAATATAATAATTTAGGAGGAATGTTGTGAGAGATTTTTATCAATTTTCAATTAGTTATAAAGTTAAATTGTGTTGATTGACAGCTTAATCGTTGAGACAAAGTCCAGTAGAACACTGGCCAATGGCCACAAATTGCAAACAATTTACAACAAATTGCAATGTGAAACTGGTGTCGAATTTATTCATGGCTACATTCAGGCCCTTATTTACAATGTTTCACAATGCTAAGGGGTCCAGGTTGTTGACTCCTTAAAAACTCTTCTCCATTTCTGTCAGATATGGATAACATGGCCCAGTATTTCTTAAATTAAGTGAATCTTTCAGTTTCATGGGCAATCAAGCAGATTATTTTCCCCTGCCAGGATGTGGGGCGTGGTATAGGAAAGAAGGTCTCAAAATTTAAAAAAAAATCTATTTAAGTCAGAGAAATGAATTTTGTGTGCATTAATTTCACATTTAATAATTTGTTGTGATGACGTGAGGCGGCCCAAGTGCCCATCTTCTTATAGGACCCTTCCTTTTTTTATAGTTTATGTTCGCTACTATATAAACAAACAAAATTCTATTATGCCCCATGGCAGGGATAGTGATAACAGTGTTTTCTTGTTTTTGGGTGAAGATAAAGCACCATTAAAATGTTCTGTGTACAGCTTCAATACAGACGGCGACATACAATGTAACCATGGATTGACTTCGGCCGCGATGCTGCGATATCCTCACATAGTTCTTGCAAATATCGCATCAACATTCAACCAGCACGATTGAAAATCATGTTGATCTTTCAATAGTTTTATCTGCATTAACACTCATTTTCATCTACAAAAATGAAAAATGTTGTTTTGCTTGAATAAATTTTATCTATGGTACCTTAAAATGTCAATAAAAAACTGACACGCATGTTTATTCAATCGTCAAAAGTTGTCAATCAAAACAGCAATTTGCATACTCACAACATTGCATGCTATCTCTTATCTGCATAACCGATTGCCATATCACTGCATGGAGCTTTGCATGAGCTGACTTTTGCGGAGTGCGGAACATTTTTTTATTCCTGATTGACAAAACGAGTGTTTTTACGAGTGTGAGATTTTACAATCTAAACACTTTGGTAGCGCATGAAAATCTTATCCATGATCTACAACTCCCAAGTGATTAAACATATTTTTTTAAGACTTAAATCCTAGCAGAAATAAAAGACATTGATCTACATGTATGTGCATCCATGCAGAAATCAAGAGGAAAAAAAGCAATCACGGGTAAAGTTTCGAAACATGAGCGAATTCTGAATTTTGAATGACAGCAAAACAAAAACTAAATGAATGTACATACAACTCGTTCTCCATAATAATCTACAAATTTCAGATCAGAAACGATCATAATTTTTGTTATGAGATACGCCTAGCCGGTGACGGCACTGGTGGAAGAGTTTTCATTGACGTACCCTCATGCAAGAATGGCCACTGTGCGTCAATTACAAATTTTGAACTATTTCTAATGGCCAAACAGCAAGTTGGATTTAAATTTTTTAGATTATGCAACGATACGTTTGCTTCCAAATTTGTCCATAAAAATTTAAACTTTGACCTAATCATTCAAATGTAACTCTTAATCATCGTGAATGTCAACAGTCTTTTCAACTTCCGGTTACTCGTAAACATTTTCTGGCTGCTGCATATGGCAAACACGCAGCCTTCTGTGTGAAATAAATGACTTAATTGTTGCTAATTAAACAAGAGGGTGAACCTGAAACAATATTCATTGTCGAATGAACTGCCACTTCTAATTAATTGGAAAGTCCATATTGATAAGATTTCATTTGATACGGTCAGAGACCCGGCCTCTGATATGGTACACACTTCAGACGGAAATAAGACTGCGAAATTGACGAAAGCAATGGAATGTAAATAATATATTTTTTGCCAAGAAACTGTAATACCATTTACAACAGTTGCTATTTCATGTCATCACTCTGAATATATTGAATTACGGTCTAAACACACATTGTCGAAATTTGATAACTGCAGATTGTTGTCTCTTGCATGCCAACGAAATGAACAGCTGATGGTGGTTACGATCTATAATTGTCCTCGCAAATAGTTCCTTATCAAGTCAACAATGAACGGAAATACATAAATATTAGTGGAATTTCTCCTAACGTAGACAATGAACAGAAATATAAGTCAAATGTAATTTCTTGTTAGTACTAATGCTAATATTTTTAAATACCGTATTCGACGTAATAAGCGCCCAGGGCGCTCTCAAAATTAGAAACAGGGGGCTCTTATTAGAATATTAATTTGGTGGAAAAAACAGATTTTAAAGATAAATTTCGTGGTTTATGCTGACAGACTGAAATGTTTATATAAGACAGATATATTTTTTCAGAATTTAATTGCCCATAATTAAGGGTGCATATAACGTATTATGTGCGAATAAATAAGTCTTGTGTACATTGATCTATCGGAAGGGGTGCTAATTGGGATTGTTCACAAGCCAATATATGAGCTATTATCGCTGTGGGCGCTTATTAGAGCCGGGCGCCTATTGCATCGAATACGGTATATGTATTAGCAGTGGGATAATTCATGTTCGAAAAAAGGATATCCTGGGATATATCTATATGATCTGGTAATATTACTTGCAACATTATTCGAGTCACAAGTACTGAAAATCAAATAGTTTCCACTGTGTGAAAAGGAAATATCGCTGAAAATGAGCAAAATCTCATCACACACCAATTAATCTCCTTGCTCTTGGACCAGGGGAGATTTTCTCTCATAGGTAAAAAAATTCCAGGATAATCATGATAATCCCTGTGTAACAATGTGTTATATTTGTTTATTTCTTGTTTAACATCGCAGTTAGCAATGTTCCAGCTATATGACGGCTGTCTGTAAATAATCGAGTATGGACCAGACAATCCAGTGATTGACATTATGAGCATCAATCCACAAAATTGGGATACGATGACATGCATCAACCAAGTCAGCGAGCCTGACCACCCGATCCCGTTAGTCGCCTCTTTGGACAAGCATAGTCACCTTTTACGGCAAGCATGGGTTTTGAAGACCTATTCTACCCCGGATCTTCACGGGTCAACAATGTGTTAAAACACATTTGGAACATTAACCTTAATTTCAGTGTCAGTGGTATGATCGTTTCGAATCCACATGTGGTATCCCGGGTAAAGAGCACACATAGAATTTATTTTTGTAACAATAGGTTGTGACAATATTTATTATGTGAAGTAAGGGATAAATGGACTTCTCCACATGCTTAGTGTGCCCCATGAAGATCCGGGGTAGAATAGGTCTTCCACAACCCATGCTTGCCGTAAAAGGTGACTAAGCTTGTTGTGAGAGGCAACTAACAGCATCAGGTTGTCTGACACGCTGATTTTTTGGGTGGACCTACCCCCAACAAGTTTGTTTTTAAATTCTGGATCCGTCCCTGCTCTAAAAAGACCCCCCGAAAAGACCCCCCGAAATCCTCGTACCAAAATGGTGTTGGAAGCCTCACATACTCTGATATACATCAGGGAATTTAACTTTCGATGGTTGATGTAATTACCTTGGAATCCCTTAATAATAAACTTAATGGCGACTATGCTTGTCTTAAGAGGCGACTAACTGGATCGGGTGGTCAGACTCGCTGACTTTGTTGATGCATGTCATCGTATCCTATTGAGTGGATCAATGCTCATGATTTCAATCACTGGTTTTGGGTCCAGACTTCATTATATACAGACGTCATATAGCTGGAATATTGCAGAGTGCATTGTTAAACAAACAACAATCAACATGCTTAGTGTACAGTTTGTTTCACAAAATACATTTGGTGATTCAAACTGGGTTTTATTAAACCAAAACCAATTTAGTCAGCTCTGGACAGCATAAGGATTTAAAAAATTTTTAAAGCAGTGAAATGTATTGTGTAATAAAACATTGAATTGACTATATGATAACTTATCCATGTCTGAAACAATAAACCTCTCTGAAACCCTGGAGTATTTGCACAGCGATTGTACATTGACTTTTTGTGTGATCAATACATTTTA